GAACTCCGGCATCCTTTGGTGGTCCGGCGGTGGTGCGGCAGAACTCCGGCGTCCTTTGGTGGTCCGGCGGTGGTGCTGCAGAACTACGGCGTCCCTTGGTGGTCCGGCGGTGATGTGGCAGAACTACGGCGGTGGTGCGACAGCACTCCGGCGGTGGTCGAGGAGGAGCTAGGCGGTTGGAGCTTTCTTTCTTCTCTTCCTTCTTCTCTCTTGGCTTCTTCCTCCCTTTCATGAGGAAATGGGATTCTATTTATAGAATTCTTGAGTGGCATGGCTTGAAAAAAAGTGAAAGATCAAGGCTAAATTTGGAGTGGTTCGAATGGACGGTCGATCATGATTCTTACGATCATGCACCGTTCAATGGATATTTGACTGTCTTAATGATATCAGAATTTGATGATCTTGGGCTCGTTGGATTCGTCTCGTCGAGCCACTCGATTCGACTACAAGCATGTCATGATTGGAGATCGTTTGGTAACCCAAATTGTGGTTAGATCCTTCCAAAAATGCTTCGAGTCTTTGATTTGGACTCATTTGGGCTCAGATTGAGTCGATTTTGGTGTCGTTGGATTTGTGTTTCTGAAACGCTCAGTTTGATTGTAAGTTTGCTGAAATCGGAATTCAGATGGTCTTCGATCTAATTTCTGAAGTTTCCAACTTGATTTTGCCTCGAGATTCGTGCTCGATCAATATAATTTTTTGATGATGTATCAGTTGCCCCTCTATTTTTGGACGTCGAATCTTGCAAAGTCCAAAAATACTTGTGTAATGTAAAAATTACTTTTGCGAGATAAAATTAAGTACATGTATAAATATATACAAATATATACATATATGACTACTAACTTAACTCCGAAATGATATAATTATATTCAGATCAATTTTGTACAAGTATACCAAAATGCTTTATCAAAGCTTTGTACAACTCATGACGTTTGGACGCTATAATATCCAGTCTCTTGGCTTTGATTAAAGCTCGGGTTTATTTATCCATTTATAACATCAGTTATAAAGTTATTATAATTAACTTATAATAAAGTTAACTATATGAGAAAGTTATATAATTAGACTATATAACAAATATAACGTTATAGTATGTTATAATAAAGTTTTCATAACTTTATAATAACTATTTATAACTGTTATAATAAAGTTATCATAATATTACAAATATTAACATTAATATTAATGTTCTTAAAAAGTTATTATAACTTTATAGATATTTATATAAATATGTATAACTGTATTAAACAACCTTCAAATTTGATAAGGATTGGCCTTGAGCCGAATGTCAAAACTGATATCATAATTATATATTTATATAAAACAGTTATTCAGAATGATATTACAAAACATTAATTCATATATATATTAATTGATATTAATATCAAACTTTTAACTTATACTATCATTTATTGACCATTTATTATTATTTCTTTTTAATCTAGAAATTTCCTCTCCAAACCTCATTTCAGAAGCTATAAATACCCCCTTAGGGGCTAAGGAGAAAGCACTACTTCTCTTAACCGGTCCGGACTCGCAAAAGTTTAGACTTTTGGCGGTGGCGATTAAGACCTGGTACTCTTACGCAGGCTCCAGTTTACTCCTAGTGGGAGAAAAACTGTCCGGTAAGAGTTTAAATACCATAAGCGGCGATCAAAGCCCGGTACTCTTACGCAGGCTTCAGTTTACTCTTACTGGGGAAAAACTGTCTGGCAAGAGTTTAAATACTAGTGGCGGCGATTAAAGCCTGGTACTCTTACGCAGGCTACAGTTCACTCCGAGTGGGGAAAAACTGTCCGGCAAGAGTCTAAATACAGGAGGCAGAGGCGATCAAGACCCGGTACTCTTACGCAGGCTCCAGTTCACTCCCATTGGGAGAAAGACTGTCCGGCAAGAGTCTAAATATCGGAGGCGGAGGCGATCAAAATCCGGTACTCTTACGTAGGCTCCAGTTCACTCCCATTGGGGGAAAGACTGTCCGGCAAGAGTCTAAATACTGGAGGCGGAGGTGATTAAGATTCGGCGGCTACAACTTTCCCCTGTTTAGCCCTATGGACCCTCACTGAGTAAGAGGAAGGTGTGATGTTGGAGGTCAGGCGGAAGGCCGACGTCACTAGGAGGTTGGGCATAAGACTGACATCACTTGGAGGTCGGGTAGAAAGTCGAGGTTACTTGGAGGTCGGGCAGAAGACCGGTGTCACTTGGAGGCCAGGTAGAAGGCAACCGATACTTGAAAGTCGAGTGCAAGACCAACATCACATGGAGGCCGGGCAGAAGGCTGATGTCACTTGGAGGTCAGACAGAAGACCGGTGACACTTGGAGGCTAGGTAGAAGGCCAACGATACTTGAAAGTCGGATGCAAGACCGACATCACATGGAGGCCACATGGAGGCCGGGCAGAAGGCCGACGTCACTTTGAAGTTGGGTGCAAAACCGACATCACATGGAGGCCGGGTAGAAGGCTGACGTCACTTAGAGGTCGGGTAGAAGGCCGACGATATTCGGAAGTCAAGCAGAAGACCGACATCACTTGGAGGTCGGGCAAAAGACCGGCGACACTTAGTGGCTGGGTAGAAAGACGACGAAAAATTTGGCGACGGGCAGTAGAGCGTAGAATTCGTCAAAGATATATAACCCATCTGAGGTTGTATGTCATAGCATTTACTCAATGACGTTAACCTATGTGGAAAAGGTTGAGAAAATTCATGAAGGATAAGAAAATCTATGAATGATGTATGACCTATTCGAGGTTGTGTGTCAGAGCGTTGTTCGATGACGTTAACCTATGTGAAAGAGGTCGAGAGAATCCACCAAGGATGTATGACCTATCCGAGGTTATATGTCAAAGCGTTTCTCGATGACGTTAACCTGTGTG